AAAAAAGAAATAAGCCCATTAAACCCTCCACTCAGCCTGAACTCTAGTCTCCACTCCATCTCTAGGTTAGGAAGGTATCTGGCCTCATTTCTAGTGTCCACCTTGTCTTGAGGTTAGACAGTGCTCCGTCCACTCCGCCTGTAGGCTAGGGAACCCTCCGTCCATCCCATCTCCAGGATAGGGAACCCTATGTCCACCCCATCTCCAGGACAGGGAACCCTCTGTCCACCCTGTCTGTAGGCTAGGAAACCCTCCGTCCACCCCATTTCCAGGTTAGGGAGCCCTCTGTCCGCCCCATCTCCAGGTTAGGGAGCCCTCTGTCCACCCCATCTCCAGGTTAGGGAGCCTTCTGTCCACCCTGTCTGTAGGCTAGGAAACCCTCCGTCCACCCCATCTCCAGGTTAGGGAGCCCTCTGTCCACGTTAGGGAGCCGTCTGTTGACTTCATCTGTAGGCTAGGGAACGTTCTGTCCGCCCCATCTCCAGGTTAGGGAGCCCTCTGTCCTCCCTGGCCCCAGGCTAGGGAGCCCTCTATCCACCCCATCTCCAGGTTAGGGAGCGCTTCGTCCATCCCATCTCCAGGATAGGGAACCCTCTGTCCACCCCAACTCTAGGTTAGGGAGCCCTCTGTCCACTCTGTCTGTAGGCTAGGGAATGCTCTGTCCGCCCCATCTCCAGGTTAGGGAGCACTCCGTCCACCCCATCTCCAGGTTAGGGAGCCGTCTGTCGACTTCATCTGTAGGCTAGGGAATGCTCTGTCCGCCCCATCTCCAGGTTAGGGAGCCCTCTGTCCACCCCGTTTGTAGGCTAGGAAACCCTCCGTCCACCCCATCTCCAGGTTAGGGAGCCCTCTGTCCACCCCGTCTCCAGGTTAGGGAGCCGTCTGTCGACTTCATCTGTAGGCCAGGGAATGCTCTGTCCGCCCCATCTCCAGGTTAGGGAGCCCTCTGTCCACCCCGTTTGCAGGCTAGGAAACCCTCCATCCACCCCATCTCCAGGTTAGGGAGCACTTCGTCCGCCCCATCTCCAGGTTAGGGAGCCCTCTGTCCTCCCTGGCCCCAGGCTAGGGAGCCCTCTATCCACCCCATCTCCAGGTTAGGGAGCCCCAGGGCCTGGGCACACTCACGTCAATCTCCCCGTCATCGATCTCCCCATCATCGTCCTCTTTCTTCTTCTCCTTCACAGCGTCTGGGGAGGGGTCCTCCTCCTCCCGGGCCCCTTCCCCCTTCTCCTCGCTCCCCTCGGCCCCTGCTCGCTCAGCTGCGTCCTCCTGGGCGGCAGGCGTGGGTTCCTCAGGGACCTCCTCATCATAGTCCAGCTCGTGCTCATCCAGCTCCCGGGTGACAGAGGATGCCTCATCCCCGTTGTCACTGGTGCGCTCCTCCTTGCCCCTGGCTCCTTCCTCCTCACACAGGGGGCTCATGGGGCCCCTGCTCAGCTCATGGGCCTCTGAGTCCGGGTCCTGAGAATGAGGCCCACTGGCTGGGCCCTCCTCGTCAGAGCGCTCGTCCTCTCCCTGGCTCAGTCCCTGGGTGGTGTGGAGGTCAGACTCGTCGTCCAGGTCGGACGCCCTCCCCGCAGCTCCATCCAGCTCCTGCTCAGAGCTGCTCTCTCTCAGGATGTCGTCATCTGAGAGCCCCTGCTGCTGCTTGTCGTCCTCTGGAGAGTGTGGGCCCCGGTCAGGGCTCTCGGCCACATCCATCGGGACCCACGGCTCTACAAGAGAAGGTCAGAGGCTCAGCGGTCAGCAACACTGAAGGCCAGCACCCCGTCCCCAGCCCGACCCCCTGGCCCAAACTCCTGACCTGTTTGGGAGAACCAGGACCTCCACTCTGTCCGGTCCTGACAGTGCTCTCAGCTCGAGACCCTGCACCGCACGCCTGCTGCCACTGTCCACTGGAGAGGAAGAAAAACAGTTAAAAGCCACACCAGCCCTGGCACATGTGGCCTTGTCCTTGGGGCAGCCTGCGGACTGCCCAGTGAGCACCACGGCCCAGGCGCATCGGACCTTTCTCTGGCGTCTGTCATTCCATGAGGTCGGGCTTGGGCTCTGAATGCCCCACTAGAACCCCCTGATGCTCCGAGGGCAGGACCAGGGGACCTCACCACAGCCCAGCTGCACTGGAGGTGTCCACGCACCCTGGTCCAGCAGAGAAGCCCTGGTCAAATCTGCAGTCCCTCCCTCTGTGAACGGAGGCCTGAGGCCCAGGGTACCACTCCAGATTTCCTGTCACAGCCCCACACGTTCAATTATAAAGTGCACACCTTCTGGGCTTCACACCTCTAGCTCCTGCTGGCTCACCTGTTTTAATCTGAGACAGGCAAGCTGAGGGGAGAGAGCAAGGTGAGGGCTTCACTCCAGACCTCTGCACCCGGGACCTGGAATCAGAATTCTAGTGAATCGAGATCCCCAGGTGACTCCTGCCTTTCTCCATTACAGGTCTCGCTATGGCACGAGTAAAAAAAAAAAATCTCAGGCAAACAGCAAGGGCCTTGTCAGCTCTGCTCCAAGTCAGCAGCCAGGGCACCCCGGAGGCCACCCCGGAGGCCACCCCGGAGGCAGGCGGGCATCTAGAGCACCAAGGAGGACACCCAGGAGCAAGCAGCAAAAACTAACTGGTTAGAGTCTTACATCCTTCCAGAAAAGGAATAGATTCTGAATCCTGCAAGCTTTGAAACAAAGTTACCTCTTAAACCAATAAAATGTTATGCAAACTCAGCAACCTGGCCTGTTGTAACTCACACCACTGATACTCTGCAGAGTGCACCTGCACAACGACCAAAGTCAAATTTGTAGCTAGATCCAACCAGGTGCACTGACTTCTCATTCAGCCTTACTTCAGTATAAGAACCAGCTCTACTGATGCAGTGGGTTAAGTGTTTGGCTGTTACACCAAAGGTTAGAGGTTTCAATCTACCAGATGTTCGAAAAGAGAAAGATGGGATGTTATTCTAGTTAAGATTTACAGCATCAGAAACAGGCAGTTTTAGCACTTGCTGCAGAAGATCAAAGAATACAGCCTGCAATATAGACTGCATCTCACCATCAAGAAAACAAAAAAATCTCACCACTGGACGATACATGGAGAAAGACTGAGACTGTCAAAGACCTCATCTCACAGGGATCCACAGTCAACAACCTTAGCACCAGCAGTCAGGAGATGAGAAGATGTGCTGTATCGGAAAAGTCTACAACCAAGGACCGCTCCAAGTTGTTGAGGAACAATGATGTCGGCCTGAGGACTAAGGCATGCCTGATTCAGGCCATGGTCTTTTCAATCAGCTGCTGTGGCTGTGAGAGCTGGACAAGGAATAAAGATGACAAAAGACAGATGCCTTCGAGCTATTGACTGGCTCACATACTCGGGCATGTTGCTAGAAGAGACTCCCGCTTGGAGAGACAACACGTTTGGAAAGGTAGAGGGGTCAGCGGAAGGCAACAAGACCCACAGAAGATGGGACTGACATAGCGACTGCAGCAATGGGCTCAAGTGTGTCAGAGACGGTGAAGATGGGACAGGATAGGACAGGGTTCAGATCTGTTGTTCACAGGTCACTATGAGTCATACTCGACTCAATGGCACCTAACAGCAGCAGCAGCAACATAGAGTTGCTATGAGTCAGACTTCATGGCAATGAGCTTGGTTAGAACAAGAAAAAGGGGTCTTGGGGGTACCATGGATTAAGCACTGCGCACTAACCCAAAGGTCAGTAGTTCAAATCTACCAGCTGTTTCACAAGAAAAAGATTAGGCAGTCTACTCCTGTAGCAATCACAGCCCTGGAGACCCTGGGGGCAGTCCTGCTGTGTCCTGTACCAACACCATAAGTGGAAGGAGCTTGATGATGTGCTGGAAGGAGGCGTTTTTGGTGGTGGGATTTTCAATACAAGAAAAGACCCAAAGGCTTTTCAATGATTTGAACATGCAGCAAGCAAAGGCAATTGTGGGGATGAACCTGTGGTGAGCAGGGGTTGGTTCAAGCATTTCAGGGAGAGCGCAAGTTTACATCATGCTAACAGGCAAGTCAGAGCCGTCCATCAGTGGGCACCAGGGACCCTGCACTCCTGAATGTCTCTGATTAGAACCAGCTCTGAACAGACTCCGTCATCTGGTTGTGGGCTTTTTTGGGTCCCAGGCAAAATGAGGTTTTGGTTTCAAAGTCACAACTGGGTCTATCCAAATCCTTTCTTATAGTTTGGAAACTTGAACTTAAAATCTTAACAAAGAATAGAAAAAAGAGCACCCAACATGTGAAGCACATCCCTGCACCATGGGAAGAAGTGGGCAGTGGGACGCTAAACAGTCACAAGCTGCTCCAGTGACAGACAGTGTGGGCCTGTGGGAACTGGGGTCCCAGAGAGTCCGTGCTGCCTAGGATCTCAATGTCTTCACCTGAAATGGACACGAAGCCAGTACACCTGGGAGGTGGTTAGCTCCCTGATCCTTGAGAGCATGCTTCAGCAGAGAGGCCCTTCTGGCACCCACTGCCCTCCGACGGCACAGCAGCCTTGTTCTTCACGTCACCATACTTAGAGCTTTGGGACTGTGGGTCCCTGAGAACCTGACAGAAGAGTCTTTGTCCTACAAAAACCTGAACAGACCCCATTTCATCCTACATTTTGGAGTTCAATACCCTCCTAAAGTTGATCTGTGGTCCTGAGGGTAAGAACTCTTAGCCTACACCCACTGCTCATGCTCCATTACAGACCTACGCTGATCGCTGACAGTGGTACCGTCATAAGCGGCACAGTATGCTGGGCGCGAGAGGGGAGACCCCGACTCCATCCTGTGCTCCTGACACCCAGCAAAGGGGCTAGTGCTTAGCAGAGAAGATACCGTGTAACTTACTGTGTAAATAAATAGGGCATTCTTGAGACTGAAAGGGGGTACTACTAACAATCACAACAGGCGCTCACACAGGGGCGGTCGCCCACACAGGGACAGATACTCCTCAGGAGGTCCTGTAAACGTTCACTGAGAAAGAAAGGGATACTGGCCTCCTTCCCTAGAACACTGGCTTACCTCACAGTCTGAGCCCACCAGTAACTCGACCTCTTTCCTAGAGGCAATCAGCTGCCCACTGCAACAGCAGAGAAGAGCCTCCTCGGAAATCAGAACTCGGGAGCTCCAGGTCTGTGCTGGGCAGGGTGACAGTCTGAGTGCCAACGTCTTTACCTGAAATTAAGGCAGTCTGGCAGGTGGCTGAGCACAGGAAGGAGAGGGTGCTGCCAGTGTGCAAGAGTCCTCTCGACAAGGCTGCCCTCACCTCTTCTGCTCGGCTGGATCTTATGACCTCCCTGGGCTCATCTCACCGTGGGCTCACGGTAAGACGTAGAGCTAACACTGCAGTGCTCTGCCCAGAGAGGGTCCTTGTCTCCACCTGGCAGGTGGTGCTGGGCAATTCTTGGTGAATGAACGCTAGACGACACAATGGCATGGCCTGAAGTACCTGTTGCACACCAGTGAGAGCAACGTGAATGTCTAATTTTAAGAAGCCCACACCAGAAGTCAGGTACAGAAAGGGTGGCAGCTCCTTTGCCAACAGCCCCTCTGTGAGGTAAGGTCACTCAGATTCCATCGAGGCAGCGCCGACCCTTTGTACCACAGAACGAGACCCTCTGTCCTACCCCATCCTCCCCACCGCTGTCCTGGCTAAGTAAGGCACGGCTGCAGTCACTGCACGGCCCATCTCAATGAGGGCCTGCCTTTTCACAGACCCTATATTATACCACGCACAGCGTCCTTCTGCAGAACTCGTCTCACTACCAAAGCGGGAATGGTAGCAGATCTGGCAAAGGAATATCAACGGCATACAAACTTAACGTTTTGGGATAACTACTATTAACAGAGCACTCTGAATGCCCAAGTCGTGGTGTGTCCTGACACAATTCAGACTCCTAACTCTATGGGTTTATAAAATCGGAAGCAAAGAGCCTGGATGAGATGAGTTGACACAAAGGCTGCAGCCTTGGGCTTCCCCAGAAACACAGGAAGGATTCCTTGACGGAAGACAGGGAGACGCCCCACCGCCATGCCCAGCAGACAGCATCTGACCAGAAGCACTACTCAGTAGAGGTGAGCAGCTGTAGTAAGTAAAGCCACCGGGTCAAACCCCAATGCCAGCAAGATGACCACAACAGCCTGTAAGATGGGTAAGAACTCAGAACTGTCCCAAAGCATTTCCGAGGCTGTCCTTTGTAAAGGGAGAACTTTGGAGACCCTCTGGGCAAGGAGTTTTGCTGCCAACACCATTGGAAACTGCCAGCTGCTTTAAGGGAGACAGAGGGGCCACTTCCTCCCGTGTGATTCCCAGCTTCTGAAAACCCTGGAAGGGTCAGCTAAGAGCGGTTCCGACAGGGCAGCTCTAGCAGTGATCTGTGGAAGAGGACCACCTCATCTTTCCGCCAAAGTGGGTGGCGAGTTCAGTGCTCGACTCCTTAACCACTGTGTCACCGGACGTCCTGGGAGAAAGCAGCCCCCCCAGAGCTCACCTGCCTGGACTCCGAGCACCCCCCCATCTAACGCTGGACTTGCCAACGCTGTTCGTGTCTCCGGGCCCTGCCTGCTCCTCGAACACCGAGCCCAGCAGCACCGGGAATCCCGAGAATTACAACCACTGTCTCGGCAAGGCGCCACTCCACGGCCTGGACGGTGGGGCTGGGGGACCGGGGCGCCACTCCCGCGCGGTGCCTCCACGTGCT